TTTTTTTTTTCTATTTTTTTTTTGTAATCTTCTTAATTTTCTAATATCTATTTTGCTCTACCTCCCGTGTGTTCTTTTCTTTTTCCTTATTGGTTTTGCCTTTTTCTTTTTTATTTGGCCAGCGGCAGCGGTTCCTCAGTCATTCCCACCCTCGCCCCGATGTCTTTCCAGGGTTGATGTTCTGGTCCATCGCTATTGCGACCCTCTGCCGACGTGTGACTTTGAGGATAACGTGATGAGGGGATGGTAAGTGCCAGTTTGTGGATGAGCCTAAAGGCGTGCGCTCTAACCTGCCATTTTTTCCGCTCCATCAGTCTTACCTGCCGCCAGCGCCATCTGAAATGTAACATCTCGAACGAGCACCAAACATCCTCTAGTCGTGATTCCTTTAGGAAACCCTAACTCTGAACACATAGGCGATAAGACTGGAACCGAATGTCTGCGTTGTCAACGATCTGGACGGCAGTGTGTTCCGGCGCCAGTAAAACCAGAAGAAGTTACTTTCCGACACGGACAGAATCCTTCGTTGCGACCCAAAGGCCCCCCACGCTATGGGGAAAGCGATCTAGCGTTTCCCGATGATCAGATCTGGGTTGATATGCCCCCTGAAGGTGGTTCTCGCGATGGCTGGCTGTGGTGTGATTGAGCTGACAATCCGCAGTTGCCTTTGAGGACGAAACCGATCGTACAGCGGCCGATTACCACGTTCTTGCGGCAGGGACGTCGTCTTTGTCCATAAGAGAAGCCTCTGAGGGCCAAAATTCAACATCTGGGACGCTGGGCTCCCCTGAACTGCGTGTTGACGTGATGTTCTCCCTACCTCCGGTGATGAGCGATCGTCAAAAGCTCAGCAACTTCAACGAATCCTTTCTTCTCCGGCACTTCCAAAAGACGCTCGGTGCATGGGTATTTATCCCTGGCTGCTTGTGGACGGCATACGCTAATGCTGATAGTTGGACGCCTGCGATCACGAGAGGCACTTTTCGGTAGATGTTCTTGAACGCGCGCCGTCGTGTCCACTCCTATTATACGCATGCCTGGCCATCGCTGCGCGTCATCTCTCCCACACTACCAACTCGATTCCGGCTAATACCGCAGATGGGTATCACGAGCGATGCATATCCATTCTTCTTCCCGTGCTAGAGAATCGTGGTTTTGAGACCAGCATCGAGATTCTCCTTGCGTCCACTGTGATCCTGCGGTTTTTCGAGCAAATATCGTGTGCGTACTTATACCCACCCATCATACCATTGACTGCAGTCTAAGCTGACTCTATATAGCCCATGACCCAGCTAGTGATCTCCAGCGACACCTGCTAGCCGGTTCTGTCTACATTGGCTCTCAAGTCGACTGTGCCACCTCCGGCGGACTGGCGGAAGCATCGTTCTGGGTATTTGTTATGCAGGATATCCAGTTTGCACTAGCGTGTCGAAAGCCCCTGCGCCTGACTTTCTCCCCGTTCGAGGAACGACTCCAACAGATGTGGGGACATAAATCCCCTTTAGCCGACCGGGATTGGGCGCACAAGGCGATTTGGCTACTGGCTGAAACGATCAATTACTGCTACAAGGCAAATCAAGTGCCTATGAGTCCGACGGCATTGAAACAGAAAATATCCTTGTGGGAAACCGGCCGGCCCGAGACTTTCCAGCCGTTGCATTTTGCCCTGGCGAATCATGGGGTGGGAAGGCCATTCCCGGTGGTGTGGTTCACGAATCCCTGCCATGGTATGTCCAGATTTTCTCTCTCTCTTTTTCTTTTGATCCTGGCTGACCAAAACTGAAAAAGCCATTGCCGTGCAACATATATGCATGGCCAAAACCTTGATCCATGAGTTTGAATTGCGGGGTTTGTATATGACACCGGGATCGGGTACTGATACTAAGATTATTGAGGTTTGTGCTCTAGCAAAATTGTACAGGAACGGTGTTACTCATTTTCAGCAGAACAATATTCTCAAATACCTGGACATCCTATTTGGCATCGCCTTATCTACAGATGACGAGCCATCTTTGAGAATCATGGCATGCCATGCGCTCTGTGCCTGTAAGTCACCCAGTCCATATTTGAAAACGGATGCTAATACCGACTCAGGTGGCACCTGGATCCGGAGTCCCCTCGCACAGAATTGTCTCCTAGACCTCCTTCGACGAACACAAACGGAAAACGGATGGCCGTGGACATTCGTGGTGCAGAAACTCAGCAGCGACTGGAGCCACACTACAACGTAGCGTCCAGTAGGTTGTTCCTCCGCCGACCTAGACAGAACCGACCCACCACATACACAATACAACATTGCCCATGCGCAATACGATGCTCTACCCATACACTAAACGATACCCTGCACCGTGCAGCAGCCCACCAACCCACCATCATCCCATCTCTCAAGAAAAAAACCCAATCCGATTCTCAAGCCACACAAACCAAACCACCATACAAACAAACAGGACAAAAAAGGGAAAGAAACCCAACGATCAGCACCAAAACTAGCGTCTTTCAAAACCGCCGATCCAAACCCAACGACAGGCAAAATAAGAACTTTAGCCATTAGGGCACCACCAACCAACTCCCAGCGGTTGGCCCGGTTGGGGTGCGCCATCGGTCGCTCGGTGGGGCGGGCTTGTTCCCCCCTCTCCCAACCTCAACCTCAACCCCATATCAGGGACCCACGTGGGGCTCGGTTCCGCGGCGCAGTTGGGCTCTAACTCCTCCGGCTGCGATCGTAATGTGAGGTGTTGGGTGTACCGTGTAACCGAATTTTGACATCTTGTTTTGTGAGTCTGGCTGTTGAGCGATAGATGTAGTTATGATATGTTATGATATTGTTACGATCGATGTCATTTGTACTCTGGTAGATGGGACTAGAATACCGTGGGACTAGAATACCCTACGTATGCCACCACTGTATGAACATAGAGGTATAACAATGCTAGGTCACCGACCAAGTGATGTGTTATATGTAGTAACCCACGTGATATACAAAAGCACACCTTATCAATCAATCAATCAATCAATCAGTCCCTTACTACACAACGAGCCAAAGTACGGAGTACATATGTATGTGTGCCAAGTTCTTCTGCTTATGCCAAGTTCTGCTTATGTTTATGCTTATGCTTATGCTTACGCATAACTAACTACGCTTAATCTTAAGCTTATACATGCATCTGCTTGATTTCAGTACTACCCTACTGCGTCCTCCAGTATCTAGTCCCTTATTTCTTGCATTTTGGATGTATTTTATATCTATGTATCTTTAGATCGTACTAGATAGATTGGTAATTTAGCTAGATACTTACTAGCTCCCTCTTGATAGAAACTACTATATAGTACGGACGACCCACCCACTTCCTGAGTCATGTACACTCATATCTTCGTTCATGGTTGTTTGTTTACCCATTTTATGTTTGTTGTGGTTTTGTACTAGACGCTACGTAATCCCAGATGCATAATGAAGTTAACTCCTGGTATCTCAAACACACACTGCCACATACAACACATCAATAGAACCCCATGCTCCCGTCCGGTAAAGGCATATTCAACAATTCGACTCCTAGCATGTTTTCCAGCGCAAAGAGATGCTCTGGCTCCATGCCGATCGACATCCCCGGCTCCGGGACGAAGAACCCCTGGGGTGCCCCCGGCATGCTGCAATGCGGGTCTCCGCCGGGATAGACAGGAGGGGCGTTTGGCGCTGTCGTGGTCGTCATGTGTGCGGAGTAGGGGGCGGCGAAGGCGGATTGATCGCCATACGGGCGCGCGGGGGCGGGATAGCCTGCCCAGTGGTTGGGGCCTGGGGCGGTGTTGTCGCCGGCGGGGTGCGGAACGGCTGTGGTTCCCGGTCCCGGGGGGTAGGGAGGGCCGTGGAGGGGACTGGTTGAATGGGTGGTGGGATCGCCCATGGCTACCTCGCTGAGGAGGTGCAACGGCGTCGGACCGCCCGTCGGGCCTGGCGGGGGTGAACGACGGGGGGCTGGCTCGACGTCACCCCCCATGTCCTGAGGACAGGTCGCGCCCACCTTCCCCCGGAACCCGTTGAAGGCCTCTCTCAACTGGGACGCCTTGTCCCGGCGCTGCCAGAACCATCCGCGCAGCATTTCCAGGATCATGGCGAACTTGGCAGGGGTCCGGCCGCCGGGTCTGTCGCCGGCTGCTCTGTAGTGCTGGATTACGCGGTCCAGATAGGATTCCACTTGGACGCTGGAAGGCTCTACCACCTGGCCGACGCCGGTCTCGGGGGCAACGGCGACGGCGTGGAGTCTGAGTAAGAGGACCATGGCGAAGGAGGTGCGCGCAAGCACCACCGTCGGAAGGTTGGGGAGGGTGTCGAGGTCGACGGCGCAGGTAGCGTCCAAAGCCCCTTGGATCGCGGCCAGACAGGTGGTCAACGCGTGCATGTGGGTGGCGCCTGGGGGCGGGGGTGGGTTGTCGCTCGAGTCGGGAGCACCTTCGGGAGTGTCGAAATGCATGGCACTTTCGTAGATGTACAGGCTAACGATGCTGGCCGACTGGGTCAGAACCGCTAGGGGAACGTCAGCACCAGTCCATGTTTTTGCCCTCTTCTTCAAACTTAGGGACACGCTGGCTTACGCGACCGATGTTCGGGAGGAATGTCCCGTTTCCACCGCTCCAGCTGGTTGTCAAACACCTTGACGGTGTACTGGAACTTGGGGTCGGCGAAGGAGGCGGACGAGGCGATATCGTCCGTAGCGAATTGAACGCTGATCTCCTCGGTGAGGTGGGCCAAGCGGACCCAGTAGATAAGGATTGCGTCGGACGGGAGGGCGTCCGGCGACCGTTCGAGGATCTCGATGCACTCGTCCATATATGGATTCCATCGGACCAACATAGGACGCCGCAGCGAGATCGATACCCTAGAAAGAAGGGAAATTAGCATGAGGGGCCCTGGGTTCGGTGAGCTCGGCGACGAACGTACTGAACCGCCTGGAAATAACACCCCAACCACGTCCGACGAACCTCGGGGGTGTCCATGTTGCGCGACCCCTTCTGTCCCAGGGCGTCCTTCATCACATTGAAGGGCTTGTGGCGGTGGGTGGTCGTCCGGTACATTCCCAAATCGATGGCCATGGTGACGGCCATGTGGGCGAGCTGGTAGAACTTGAGCTCCTCGAACTTGTCGGGGGGCGTGTACCAGTGGCCGATGACGAGCAGGGCCTGGGTCAGGTCGAAGGACTTCTCGCCCCGGACGACGACGCGCTCGGCGATCATCCGGTAGAAGTCATTGATTAGTTCCAGCTGGATGTTGGGCTGGATGGTACCGATAGCGACGGCGACGATGGCGTGGAAGAGCGCGGGCTTGGTGCGCCGGACCTCGTGCATCTGCGTCCCAGCGGGGAATACGACCATGGGGATGTGACAGGACATGTCCTCGACGAAGCGCGTGAAGGCCTGGGCGGCGATCCCCAGCGAGACAATCTCCCGCTCGATGATGTCAATGACCTTGGGGGAGGAGTCGAGCCGCGGACCGGCGGCGGTGTTAGCGCGCCAATGTCGGGAACCCGTATCGACGGCGGAATCGGTGTCCGGGGTGTAGGAGGGGGTCCAGGACCCGCTCTCGGGCGGGGTGTCCTTGAGATCTCCACTCCAACGGCGCTTGGTTCCCGTCGGGGCGGCGGACTCGGTCGGGGGAACCCCATTCACCGCGGGAGGGTGGGCGGCACCACCCCAGCGGTGTCGCGCATAGTCGTCTCGGGGGGTTGCCGTGACGGTGATAGAATCGGATTGTGGAGAATGGGACGACTGCAGACTGGCGGTCAAGGCGTCGATCTTCCTCTCCAGCTCGGCGACGCGGGTGTCGGTCTTTTTTTGACGCTTGCGGGTGGGGACGGTCACGATGCAGGAGCGGCTAGCCTTGGCGCAGCGCTTGCACGAGGGACCGTCGGGGTACTTAGGGTCAGGTTCGCAGCGGACCTTGAGTTGTCGACAGGCCTCGCAGGCGCGAGGGCGCTTGAGGTCGGCATAACCGTCTGGATCCGGGTCGGGATCGGGATCGGGGTCGGGGTCCGGGTCGTGGGGATCGAGGGGCTGGGATGGGAGCTGGGGTGGGGGAAGTGGGGGATAATAGGACGAGGGATGGAGGGGTAGAGGACGGTCCCCCGTGTTGGATTGATTACCCAAATGGAGACGTGGATTGAAATCCATGGAGGGAGAAATGCGGGGGTGGATCAATATGTCTGTCTGTCGGTCAGCGTTGTGGGCCTGACTGGTTTGACTGGCCCTGAGGCCTGACTCAGACCATGACGGCGACGGGAGAGACCGACTCCGCTTACCTTGGGTGCAGCGGTGGGACGACGGTCGGTTGTCTGAATAATTCTATCAAAAAACAAACCTGACGGGAGTCTAGAGATGCGAGTGACAGATTGGGATGACAGACGGTGGAGCAGTCGGAGCACGGTCGATCGGGGCACCGATGACCGATGATCCAGTCGATCCAGTCGATCCACAGAAATGGACAGGGACCGACCAGGGGAGGCTGCACGATAGAATCGAGTGGATTGGATTCCAGTCTCGGATAGATTCGAAAGGACCAGGATGAAGGAAGCGGGATGAATGGATGGAGAGGAGAGGAAGATGAAAAGGAGGTTGACGTGAAGACAAAGAAAGACAAAGAAAGAAGTACAGCTGAACAGCCTCAGGCCACTCCCGCACGGGATCACCTGATTATATCAACATCATTATATCCTAGTTCTGTATGTGTTTGTTCTTGGTTCATACTGTTATATGATGCAAGATGGATCTATACTAAATAGTGTAATCTCCATTGCTTGTTGGTTAGATAGCTGCAGCTATGAACTATAGGTCTATCTAATCAGCGTCTACATACTACCACAACCAGATATGCTCAGGTTAAGTGGATTTTAGCACCTGAAAAGTAATATAATAATAACAAAAATCACTTAATCACAATATATATACATATATACTGAAAATTTTACAGGTGATCTCCTATATATTTGTTAGTAGAGTCTGTGTGTAGGGCTATAAGTCATCATCTACCCACACGGAGTACTACTAGATTAGTACAGGCTACTTCAGACTACTGCAGCCTACTACAGACTAAGTCGATCTTCCTATAGACGGATTATAGAAGTCTGCATATGTCTCTGTCTTGCAGGACATATATACTGTGAAGTACATGTTAAAGATCATATAATCCAGGATATATATCTCCATCACATTGCATTAACCACCCAACCCAGGATCAACCGAGTTGACACTAGGATAGTATAGAATGGTCACATCCTTAATCAGAATTCACTCTTCAAGTAACATGTAGATGATTGTGGAGTCAATCTGGAGAATGCCAAGAATGTGGGGTTCCGGTGACGATCGTGATGTCTTGCGGGGAGCAATTTTCTAGCTTGTCTCAAATATTGACAGGGGCGTTCATTGACGGACAGCGATCCCCGTAATTATTCCATCGGTTAATAGAATAGAACTTATAGCCGGTATATGATGAATAGAGAGCTCTCGGTAGAAATTGGATAGAAAATAGCCGATAGAGAAGATATAAAACATGTAAAGCCTCCGCCATGAATGAATTGCTATTAAACAAACAACATCATGTTCCGCTGGCTCTTGGCGTGCCTGCTCGTCCGCTCCGCCCTCTGCGCGGTGGAGCCCTTCCCCCTCAACAAGGTCTCCATCGCAGAAGGTCGCTTCTACGAGAACCAAGATCGCACCCTCTCCTACCTCAAATTCATCGACCCCGAACGTCTCCTCTACAACTTCCGTGCCACCCATCAGCTCGATACCAAGGGTGCCACCGCGCTCGGCGGCTGGGACGCCCCCGACTTCCCCTTCCGCTCCCACGTCCAGGGCCACTTCCTCTCCGCCTGGGCCCAATGCTACGCCACCCTAGGCGACGAGGACTGTCGCGATCGCGCCGTCTATGTCGTAGCCGAGCTCGCCCTCTGCCAGGCCAACAATAAAGCCGCTGGCTTCACCGAGGGCTACCTCTCAGGTTTCCCCGAGTCGGACATCATCGACCTGGAGCAAGGCAAGCTCGAAAGCGGCAACGTCCCCTACTACTGCCTCCACAAGACCCTGGCCGGCCTCCTCGACGTCTGGCGCTTAATCGGCGACGAGACCGCCCGCGACGTGCTCCTCGCCTTCGCCGGCTGGGTCGACACGCGCACAGCCGCCCTCGACGCCCCCACCATGCAGACTGTCCTTGAGACCGAATTCGGCGGCATGAACGACATCCTCGCCGCCCTGCACGACGAAACCGACGACGCTCGCTGGCTCGACGTCGCCCGCCGCTTCGACCACGCGGCTATCTTCGAGCCCCTCGCTGAAAACCGCGACGAGCTCGACGGCCTGCACGCCAACACGCAAATCCCCAAATGGATCGGCGCCCTCGCCGAGTACCACGCGTCCGGCGACGACCGCTACCGCGACATCGCCCAGCACGCCTGGGACATCACCGTGTCGGCGCACACGTACGCCATTGGTGCTAACAGCCAGTCGGAACACTTCCACGCTCCCAACGCCATCGCCAAGTACCTCAACAACGACACGGCCGAAGCCTGCAACTCGTACAACATGCTCAAGCTGACGCGCGCGCTCTGGGCCCTCGACCCCCACAACGCTACCTACTTCGACTATTACGAGTCCGTCCTCCTCAACCACCTCCTCGGCCAGCAGAACCCCGCCGACCCCCACGGCCACATCACCTACTTCACCTCGCTGAACCCGGGTGGCGTGCGTGGCATCGGGCCCGCCTGGGGCGGTGGCACCTGGAGTACTGATCATGACTCGTTCTGGTGCTGTCAGGGGACGGCCCTCGAGGTCAACACCAAATTCAGCGACTCCATCTATTTCTCCGAGGAGTCCACCCTCTACGTCAACCAGTTCATCGCGTCGGAGCTCGACTGGGCCGAGCATAACGTGCACATCACGCAGGCAACCTCGTTCCCAGCGAAAGACAGCACCACACTCACCATCCAGGCCCTCCCGGGCTCCTCTTCCACCCGTCGTAGGGCCGAAGAAAGCAACTTCGAACTCCACATCCGCATCCCCAGCTGGACCGCCAACCCCACCATCACTCTCAACGGCAAACCCCTCGAGGACCCCCTCACCCCCGGCCAATACGCCGTCATCCCCTCCCGCACCTGGCAGCCCGACGACACCGTCGAAGTGCGCACGCCCATGGGGCTGCGGAAGATCCCCGCCAATGACGACCCGGCCCTGATGGCCGTCGCGTACGGGCCGACTGTGCTCTGCGGGAACTACGGCGATGAGGCGCTACAGGGCGCGCCTGCGCTCCAGCTGGATACGCTTACGCAGGATGCCTCGGGCAAGTTGGCGTTTGTGGGCCAGGCGGATGGGCAGGAGGTGAAGCTGGGGCCTTGCTATGATGCGCAGGGCTTTGGGTATGTGGTTTATTGGAAGGGGGAGGGGGAGTTTAAATAGTTTATGTGTATAACTATGTATAGTCTAGCCACTGTGCCTAACTGCTGAATAGCATTTTGGTAGGGTTTGACATGTCATATGTCTGATATCTCCAACATCACGATATACCTATGTTTGTATATTGTAGTTTGTGCCCTCTATTATCTGAATATTCTGCGAGAGCAGTTATTCGGACCAGTCAGTGTATACAGTCACTTCTAGAGCTGGTGCTTAGGTGCAATCTCGGAGCAATTCAAGAGTTAGATTGAAAGGTAAATCAGATACTTTAGGAATTTTTAGCACTACACGTGGAATTGATTCAAACCAAATAGAATCTTCGGATCCTGTAGATGGGAGGGGGGAGGGGAAGCAATGAATTGAGTGAAAAGGTTTTCCAACGAATACTTCATGTAGTATTTTTATAGCAATAAATATTCGACAGGACCTAACAAGGGAGAAGCAAGGAAGCTTGACATGGATAATCACCGTGGTTATTTATTAGGATAAATATCTTTTGAAAAGAATTGTATATTCATATATGTATTGAACCATTAGAGTAGTCTTGTACTTTCAACTCTTGATAATTATGATAATGGAGTAAAACTAATAACCCATTTTGCATTGCTCTTATTAGAAGATACAAACTCGTTATTTCTTCATATTCAATAGAAGAGTATAATTATGGAGAAAATAATCAAAACTACACAATGTAATACAAATTTGATATTCTAAACGATCCATAGAGTGATACAGTACGGAATAGAGGGATTAGTCTAGAGTTGATGTATAAATATCTCTTATGGTAAAGTAGATATAGTAGATATAGTAGACAGGCGTAATGGATATAGATATAATAGATATAAAAATAAGATCACAGCCCAATCCACCCCCCCAAAGGCTCCTCCAACACCTTCTGCAACTTCCCCCGTAAAACATCCCCCAACAGCTCCCCAGCTTCAACATCCGCTAACGCCGTCAACTTCGTAGTCTGTGTACACCGTCCTCCATATTCATCTTTCTCTCCCTCTCTCCGCCCATCTTCCTCTCCTCCAGACTTCCCACGATCACTAGGAAATGAACCCATCCTCCCCCCCAACCACAGCAACGCAGACGGGGCCCCCTTAACAGCCAACGGCCCATGCCCCTCCACCACCACCCGCCTATACTCGACCCTCGCACCCTGACTACAGTACCACCTAACAAGCTCGTCCGTCTCCTCAACGGGACTGATCTCGTCCGTCACGCTCTTATACACGAACATCGGCACGGTGGGTATCGTCCCCAGTCCGCCCAGCGCATTCGCCGCGTACACTTCCTGTAATCCCCTATCTGTTACATATATATCTCCCGGTGACAAATACCGTGATATATCGTGATACATGAAGTGTACCAGGTTTGCCCCGCAGCACTGGTGCCGCGCTTTGGTGAACCTTTTGCGGGAATGTGGCTTGTTGATTAAGTGAGCCGTGAGCGTATCGTTTACAGATTGATACTCGTTCGCGAGACCCCATAGTCCAGACGGGATGAGTCCTGCCGAGTGACTCCCGTTGATTTGGACGAGCGCTGTGCTGATATTGGGCACTGCGCCGCCGACCGCTGCGCCGAGGATGTGCAGTTCGGGTGCGTAAAGCGGGTGCTGCTCTGCTGCTGAGGCTGTTGCGAGACCCCCGCCCGAGTAGCCCCACATTGTGAGGGAGGCGGTGGGGGAGAGGTCTGTGAAGCTGGAGGAGGACAGCGCTGCGCGGAAGGAGTCGAGCACGGCGCGGCCGGCGAGTTTGTTGGCGAGGTATGCGGCTTGGGGGCCTTGGAAGTCTGGGACTAGGACGGGCCACTTATTGCGCAGGGCGGCTGTTATGAGGAGGAGCTGGTCTTGGGACATGAGGGTGCCGAGGAGGTTTGTTACTGTTGCTGTGGCGGCGCCGAATTGGAATGCGTAGGACGGGGCGCAGTCTATGGTGGAGCTGTCTTGGGCGACCTGGAAGGAGAGGAGGGTGGAGAGGTTCGCGGAGTGTGGGATTAGAAGGGTTGTTACTGTTGCGGTGGGGCGGTCGAAGGAGTCGGTCGTGCGGTAGAGGATTTGGTGCGCTTTGTGCAGCTTGATGGGGAGGAGGTTGAGGGAGGAGATGGCGTGTGGTGTTTCGCGGTGGGTGAGGATTGTTCCTGGGGCTGTTGCTTCGTAGCCTGGGGGTGGGATGTAGAAGGGGTCTTCGCTGGGGCGGAGGGTGGTGGCTAGCGCGCTGGTTGTGAGGAGGAGCATGATGGTTTCCTTTATGGATGCCATGGTGGGATGGGTTCATTATTGTTTCGTGGGTGGTCTTGGGTTGTTCGGTTGTCGTTCTGGACGCGTTTTATCCTCGTGGGTTATGTATGTAATCAAGGGCGCAAGGGATGACGACCCTACATTGCCTTGACATACATCGACGTGCATCCATGTATACAGGCAATACGTGCATCACGCGCTCTCCCAAAAGATTGTATAGTTCTGGCAATATCACTTATGCACTGGACACTCCTTCTTCCGCTCGAACCACTCCACTATACACCGCTGGTGGAACTTGCACAGACACTCCAACCGCACCAACACCTCCCCCTCCGCGTACTCCTCCATGCAGATCGTGCACTCCGCCGCCCCCTCCTCCCCTAGACAGTCCTTCTCTGTCGCCGTGTACGCCACCATCCGCACCGGCGGCGCAGTCGGTGGTCCCTCCGGACTGCCGCCGCGGCCGTGGCTGGCGATGCAGTCGCGAATGTGCGCCTCGCGGGCTTCTTCGCCCCCGTTTGCCCCGAGCGCCGGTAGCGGGCGAACACATATCGGACACAGGTCGCGCTCCGCGACTGGTGGACGCCGTCGCTCACCCGTCCGGACGGGCGCTTCTGGATTTATCGACGAACGCACTGGCAGCGACCGTGCGCTGCCCGGGAGGAACGGCAGGGGTCGCGCCTGAGATCCGTAGTCCATACGCTCGGCGAACGGCGTCCCCGACGAGCTGCCGAACCCCATGAACCCGGGGTAGTCGTTCGATCCCACCGTCCGGCGGCTGAGTCGGGTATACGAGTCGGGCTGCTGGTTGTTAGTAGAGGACTGCAATGTAGGGACATGTCACACTTACGATAGCGTCATACGGGGGTCGTCCGCTGGACACAGAATGATACGAACGATGACGGGGACCCCATCCGCCCGGCGGAGGCTCCCGGACAGGATATCCCCGTGGGGGATCCGGGTTAGGGTCGGGAACGCAGGGGTTGCACAGTCGCACTTCCTCGCCGCCTCCCAGTGCGGGATTGACCGCCGACGACGACTGCGACTGCGTGTCCGCCTCCAGATCGATGACCGGTGCACGCGGCGTCATCAGGCTGGAGGCCCGCGACCGGGCGGCCTCTGGCGGGTGAACGATGAATTGGCGCGGGATGGTGATACGATGCGGCGAGCACGACGCACACACGACGCGCCCGCACTTGCGACAATGGTGTTTGCGGTACCAGAAGCTGAACAGCGTCCCGCAGATGGGACAGTTCGTTGCCTCCGCATCGGGCTGCCACCGCGGCCGCATCAACTCCCCATACTGGCCACTGTTTTGACCCCACGGTGTCGGGTGATTCGCCGGTCGTGGCGGAGGAGGTGGTGGTTGTTGCGGTGGTGACGACGACAGATCAATCGGATCGGCGTATGAAGCACCAGCAGCGACATCCGGTCGCGCCTGCGACTGAACCCGGGGGATAGACCGGCTCTCCCTTTCAGCCTCGCGCGAGGCTCCAGGCCACGGATGTCTCCCGTCTCGCTCCATATCCACCAGCCTCCTCTTCCGATCGGAGCCGCTCAGCGTCGACCGTCTTCTCTCCGGTCGTGTATTATATGCCGGGCCGGGTTCCGCCCTACTGGAACCCTGGCCCGAACCCGCATGATCTGCCCGTCCGAGAGCGGGGGAGTCGGGCGAGGACTCGGGTAGGGATCCAGGCGTGGCGAACGCGGCGGGTGGTTCGGGAGCCGAACTCGACGACATGAGGAGGACAATTCGGTGTAGTGTGCTTTTGATGGTAGTGTCAATAGGCTTTCGATGGGTTTCGATCTGGAGATCAAACTCCGTCGTAGGAGGGGCAAGTCGTCATTGACCGGGTCTAGCAAGGGCGGTCGCAACGAGTCGGTAGTCAGATGAGTCGGACAACGATGATATCGACGGTCCACAATATACAACGATACAAACCGATCGAAAATAACGGAGGACTGAATAACGAAGCAAGGGTATATCGCTAGTGAGACGAGGGATGGTGTGACCGTAACCAGCGACCGTATACCAAGAACTCCAACAAGAAGCGGGCAAAATCAAGAAGAAAACGATGGAGTTTAGGATAATGACAATAACAATAACAATAACAATAATAGAGTAATAATAAAAAAGTGGCAGTGGGTAGACGAATCCACCCTAAGGATAAGAGAGAAGAGTGAAGGAGGAAGTCGAGATAGTGAGGGGGAGATGGATAAGAGCGAAAACGGATGATTTCCTCCCCGAGCTCGAGCTCACCGCGGGGTGTTCAAAGGAGCTGTGGGTCTTGTTTCTTGTTCTCACCCAACACGTTCGAATCTTGCGATGAGAATAGGTGGAAAAAAAGGCAGGAATAAGATCGACAACCTTGTAGGCTCGGTTGGTGTCCAGTGTTGAAGGTCAAAGAAACAATGAAAGAGATACGGCCGATCCCGCTGATTTGCCACTGACTCTCTTGGGTCGCGCAGTCACGGGTTCCTCTATATATAGAGGTACTTTGTTATCTCCATGGATCAGAAATTCTATCTATTTCTATGCCCTTGGATAGAGTGAGCCATTTCCTGTCTAATATTTCGGGAGCCCATACAAACCTAGACTACCATACTTGGTGTTTTGTACTGTGGCCTTATGTTGCGTGACTTTGAAACCTCTGGGATGCGTCAAAAGAAGTCCAGGACAGCCTATATTAGCCAGCATGCTACCATTTCAGTAAAGCCTTCACATAGCCGTTTTATTGATTAAGCATGTGGGACTGGGATCTTCCACAGTCCGTTCTTATTCAATCTCGTCAAATCAAAAGCTCTAGGGCTAGTAATTATGCATACTATAATGATCCAGGTTTTGGTGGAACAGGGGAAACAAGGGGCACAAGATATGAGTGCCTTTAATAGGGATGCTGCGGAATCTTACTATCTCTTACCGTCTGAGGATCTCCTGGTTGTTATTGGAGTAAATATAGCAGAGTCAATAGCAGACATTATTGCTCACCTCATACGCGCCGCGGTGGTCGTAGTTATTTCCTCCAAAACTGCATGGAGTTGGCGCAAACCTTTCATGGGTGACTTTTCCTGGTCACCTCCTCGGACTTTAGAGTAAATACAATCGAATTACAGGTCGTGCCTTGGGCGGGATAGGAGGATCAAATGTAACAAGCGGACAGAGTCCGATCCAGCCGCCCAGTGAGACAACACCAGGTAGACCCCTGAGCACGCTCCCCAGAGCCGTCCGCACGCGCCAGTACGATATCTGCGGTAAAGATAACCTATGTTATAATACTCGGACACCCCCCAGATTGCCGACCGGAGACTTTGTGGACGAAATCGGCGCAGCCATGATCTTCCACGCGAACCAGCGGCCGCGGAGAGTGACTCCGAACGTCCAGTCAAAGACAGGTTCCAGGACTTATACCCAGTCGTGGACCTCGTCGAGGCAGAGTCACTTCATGCGCTCAGCGAAAAGAAGGAGGCCCTCGGCTTGTTGCTCGTGCACGAGCGAGTGCATGGTGAACGTCTCCTGCGCCATATCCCAGTCCTGATTGAGAAGGTCCTTGTGCAAGTTGCTTTCCTGCACTGGGTCAAATTCGGCGTTGATTTGAACCAAGGTTTCCTGTGTGAATGTGTCGGCTCCCCGCGCGCGCCTGCAAGATCGTCACCATCGCATCTGGGGCACTGGACGGATCAGACCCAACGAGCTCCATAGCCCGTCGTAAGCCCTCCGTCGCGCGTCCCCTGTGCCCGAGCTTCACCAGGACCTTCCCGAGATGGGTCCATGCGTCCGGAGACTGGGTCCAGGCTCGTCGCAAGATATGTGTCCTTCGCGGCCTGTTGGTAGTATGCTCAGGTATCTTGCACCGTGGACTGTTTGCAGCGAAGCGCCGCATTGTGGGGATCCAGCTCAATCGCCTTGGTATACATTTTGACCGATCCTTTCACGACGACACCAGGTACTCATCGTCGTCCTCCCCATGCCACGATACACTCGCCGAGACATGTGCTAGATGCGCCGGAGGCTTCCTCAGGCCAACACTTAATGTGCGCGTGCGCTTCGCGTCGATGTATTCGAGGACAAGCAGACATCGCCCCTGGAGATGGAGATCGTCCAGCTCGTCCTCGCTCCTTGTAGTAAGCTATGCGCTTTTTTTGCTTCTGGTCTTGCATTTCACTTGGAGTTGGTTACATGGTTAGGGTTGGTTTAGCGCGGTGCATGAAGAGGTTGTGCAGTGATAACACCATCAACGCAGCCAGATATTTATACATGGGATGTCTATTTTTCTAATCTTGATTATCACATGAATTCAAGTTCTTAATGAGATCTAGAGACATATCAATGTCCAAAACGTGACGAGTGCCCGCACACTACGCCTAGCCACGCTATGCTCGGAACACGAGGGAACCCGAGCGTCCACGCGCTCTCATTGCTCCAAGGCCCCTTTCCCTTGTCTTGGCTGGAGAGAACGCCCAGATGTTGAAGGCAGGGCTGTCGAACGTTGCCAGGTCTCAGTTCGGGTGCGACGACGTCCGAGCCCTAATCCTGGCCACATCGATTCTCATTATCCGCATACCGAGAGCTTCCACGATCCAACCTCATTACCCGGTCATTTTTTAAGCAGGGGACTACAGGAGAAGACTACAGCGTTCACATACCTTCACTTAGGACATAGGTTGTCCGCGGGTAATACTGATTATGAGCTAAGTGGACAGGAATGCTGATTGGGATAAAGGAAGTGTTATAAACGCATTCATCACAGTCTCTGTAGCATTCTCTACTAGATGTTTATCATAAACCTTCTTCGCATTCCCAGTACCCATTTGTTCTAGATATATTCTCGCAGGCTTAGCCAACAGGATAATGTGTATATGTATACTTTGGATCCGGGGATCTCCGCTGCCACTAGTCTTCTTCCTAGCTCGTTGATGATGATGGCAAGCCATGTTGTAGAGATCAAGGCGGAGGCTTGTCTATCTGATGCTGCGGAGCGCTTAACGGAGGCGAGACCCGAGGCTACCTCTCCCCTTGTTCTTCCTTCATCCCGGGGAGACCATTCCTCGCCACCGACATACTAATGCCTGTTCAGACTGACGTACGCTTTTTCGCACGTTATTCTTGGTCTGGGAGGTGTCTATGGTGTTCGCGGATTGAAAACACGACGTTTAAAGATGTACTTGCATTGATGATCGCCTCTGAGTCGGGGTATATCAGTTCGATTCATTCTATCCACGGCGAATCAGAGCGCTCTCGCGTACCCCTAAGCTAACCTATTTTGCAATTCTGATGCGGGAGATTCAAGAGCGGTATTCAGCCTCATCTGGTCAACTATGATTTAACAGACGGATTCGACACCTTGAGACATGCGGACACCCGGACCCCTCTAACCTAGTTGAACAATGGTTAAAGTGGTTAGATCGAGCAGCGAATATTCCAACCTTGCAAGAATTAAAATGAATCGCCTCCGTTCCATCCGGAGAACCAAGCGCAAAGGCGTTGGCTTAGGGTGGCACCGCGGCGCTAGCGCAGGACTGTCTCAGTTGACTCCCAATAACGCGACTTTCGGCCCCAACTTGGTTCCATATGAGGCTGTACGTTCGTCGGAATGACTTGCCCTTCCACTAATCAATTAACCTAGTAGATAGATTAATATCACTGGGCGCTGGGCGTAATCTCCAGCGGCGAGTATATTAGCTTTCAATGCCCCCCACTGCAACCCTGTAAGGCCATTGTCTTTTTCTTTTGGCTATTTTTCATTCCAATCCCGCGCCCCCCCCGCAATATGCCCCGGGATGTTTTCCTCCTCTGTATGGATGCTGCTCCTTGCAGCGGTGGCTAGTCTGCACTCGTTTGGTGAGAATCCATCCCCGCGACGCTTGGTTGCGGATCACCGTGTGGTATACATCCTAACAGCCGGTAGCGATGGCCCAGATCTGTGACATGCCGGAACGGTGGGAGGTCACCGGCTTCACAGCCTTCAACCAGACCGAATTAGACATAATCGCACGGTCCTGCACGATCTTCAACGGACACCTCTACGTGCACGAAAGCTTCACGGGCCGTTTCTACCTGCCCAATGTCCGACACATTATAGGCAATCTAGGGCTCTATTCCAGTTACGAACCAAACGACGGTCAGCCCAGGCCCAAACTGACCTCGTTCGAGTTGCCCGATCTAGAGACGGTCAACCGCAGTATCTCTTTGATTAACATGTCGAGCCTGAAGAATGTATCGATGCCGAAATTACACTCGGTGGGCGGGCAAGTCGGCGTGGATGCTTTTGAAGAGCTGAATCTGCGGTCGTTGGAGGCAGTCAGCACCATGAATATTGGAGGTTCCCTCTCTACGTAAGTGGATAAGGCCCGCTTCTCTTGGTGTGCAATTTGCTGATGGCTCGGTGGATCCAGTCTGCGACTCGACGCCCTGAGGGAAGCCACGAAGCATCTTGTGATCTCAAAGGAAGATGTACCTCCCATTCCCGCTCTGGATCTTTCCCTCCCTTCCTTGACCGAGGCGGGCGGCATACAATTGAACGGAATATTCTCTCGGTGGGTGTTGCACCGTCATGGCATCAATCGTATCATATACTCACTGTGAGATAGTGTCGCCATGCCGCAACTTTTCAATATCTCTCTTGGCTATTCACTCTGGGAGTCTTTTAAGATAAACTCTTGGGGTGGCCCTCCATTCGAAGTCTTCCTACCACAGCTGGCCCATGTCAGTATGGATATCGATATAAGTGGTGTGATCCAGGGGTAAAGCAGACCAATTCCGCGCATAAACCAACTGACTGACATGATTTCAGCTTCTCCATGCCCAGCATGAAGAACATGATGACTAGCTCATTTCGGCTCAATACGACCGAGCAGCTGGACCTTACTCTACCTTTCGAGCAGGTAGGTGCCGTTGAGTTATATGGCAACTTGACAAGGTAAGTACCCTGGTCCCTCTCCATTGCTTGAAGGTAAACATACCAACAAACCTTCTTAGCATCAAATTTCCCAACTTGGATGTCGCGAGGTCTATAGAAGTCAAGACCACCGTCCCGTTCGACTGCGGGGCCCTGAAGAAGTCGGTGGCTCCGGCCATACAGCACGAGGACGACTGGCGTAACCAATGTACTGCACCGGCAGGCCCAGGACTCAGTCCCGGTGGGAAGATCGGCGTTGGAGTTGGGGTGGGCGTCGGTGGTCTGGTGGTGATCGCTGCTGCCCTGTGGTTCTTCCTTCGGCGCAGGAAGCAAACGAAGCGCTTGAAGTCGGAGTCGATTGCCCACCTCCGCGACATGCCACCGTCGTACGCAGAGACCCGAAACCATGATCATCCGCCTGGGTATGTCTTCACTCATGCAGGGTGATGGTTTATCATGATTGAGGTCTTGATGGTGTAATTCAATAGCTGAGCCCCTTGTAATGTTGATTATAGAGGACATTCTAGTTAATAATCCATGTGCTAGTTTCTGGTATTTCTAGTCAGTTGTTGCAGTGGTGTGTATATGTATTTAGTATTCAGACCTTTTCACGATCAAGATCACTTTCCACATCCCTTCTCCAAAAAGCATTCGTGCTTCTGCCATGCATCCAGACCCAAGAAGAATGATCAGGAATACAATTTTTTCTCTCTCTATTCAACTTGATATGCTTAAGATGTATACAGAATCCAAGGTTAAAAGGAAAAAGTATAAAAAAAAAAAACATACGACGACATATATAAGAATGTATAGATAGAAGTATAGACAGGGTATTGAAATATTGAAATATTGATAAATATTATTATAGGAATACATATTAGTTGCGAAATCAACCTTCTGACAGAAAAACCCTCAATATACAACCCGACTACTTGCCGCCATGCAATGATAACCAGGAAAACAGAACATTTTCACACTGGAAGGATAAAGGTAATGACCAGGATTACAACATCATAGAACGGCCGTAGCCAACGTAAGGAAATATGAGAAGGAAAGGAAGGGAAAAGGAAAATAATGCCGAACAGAGATCCAATCGTGAACGCCCTAGTCAATTCAATTCTCCTTCTGTTCTCTTCTCTTCTTTTTTGCTACCGTCCGACGCTCAAGGAAATTCGTCATGCTTGATATCGACTATCACCCCGTCAAGGTCAAGATGCTATCGGCTATCATGGTGTAGGTCGTCCACTAACTCCGCTGCACTCCCCGTGAACGTCGGCTCGTCGCCACTGCGCTCGTGGATATTATCGCGCGTCCGGTGCTGCGCCACGTATCCCATACTCGAGGGACGTCCCTGCTGCCGACCAGACGAAGTCGAGCCCGTCGTCGATGCGATGGACATGTTCCGGTCGCGGGAGGGCGAGCTCGTCGCACTAAACGGGAGTCGACCGGTCACCGAAGACGAGTGGTGGAGATAGCCCGGTGAAAAATTCGACCCGCCGTAGGGACCTGACTCGTGGGCCTCCGCCGACACCGCTTCCGTCACCACGGGCAGCGATCGCTGTGACAGATCCTCTTCGCCTAACGAGCTGATCGAGTCGGCCCGCCGGCTGCGCCGAGTCTCTGCCCCTCCCGAGGCGGTGCTGTGGCGTGAGCTCTCGCGGTGCGGTAGTTCGATGTCGTCGCCCGTGTCCACCGGGGGCAGGGTCAACGCAGCCTCCGCGCTGCGAGATGCATCCGCTCCGTCCGAATCGGGTTCCACGGAGGGACCCCCCGACGCCGCAGGCCGACCACCGGCCCCTGGCTCGTCCGGCTCGTCCCGGTACGGCTCGTGGAATTCCTCCCCGTCGGCCATCAGCCCTGGCGGCGGCGCCCGTGCGCTGCGGACCACCTCGAAGCCTTTGCCTTTCTCCTTGGTCTTGCCCTGGAACAGATTGCGGAAAAAGCCCGTGGCCGACGACACCGGGCCTGTAGGATCCGCCGGACCTGTCTTGAGTTTCCGCGTGCCTGTGTGGGACAGAGGTGGACCACGGACCCGGTAGTAGAAATCCACCTCACGGACCGCATAGTCCTTTCTCGAGCGGCGCGGTTCTTCGAAGTCGAGGTCGTTCTTCGGGGCGGGGATGTATGCGGGGACGGGTGTGTTCCGACCCGACCGCGTCGCCTCGACAATATCGTCCTCCCCGTCGCCGTACGGTCCTCGCGAAGCGCTCTCGGAGTACGATCGGCCGTGTTCTGTCGAAGGGCGCGACTCTGTCATTTTCCGGCGAGGACGCGGAGGCCGGTAGTAAGGGTCATGGGGTTGCATGAAGACCGGCCCACTCTTGGGGGAATTGCTGCCGGTGGTCTGGTATCCGGCGCCGGGAGTGGGGGTATAGAATCCACTGCTGTTGGCGCGACTGTGGGCTCCCCCGTGGGCACTGCCGGTGTCGAAGAAGGCACTGGCTCGGCCATCGCTAGCACCAGCGCGGTTCAAGAGCAAGGCCGAGCTGCCCGAGAGACTTCGTGGTCTCGAACCATCGAATTGCGACGACAGTCGATCGTCCGTGTGGGCCAACATCGCCGCTTCGGAGCCCATGCTTTGGCGCGTCCCCACGTCACGTCGCGGAACACGGCGCGAGAGTTGTCGCATGCCAAATACCTGAGAGTAGTTAGCTTTGCCTGCTACCAGACATAGGAGAGAAGGAAGGAAGAAAAGAAATGGAGAAAATTTCCATACCTTGACGAGACCACCACGGGTAACACCCCCCTCGTAGCCACCGGCACCGGCAAGACGGGCGACGACTTCGATCAGAGTCTGTAGTGCATTCAAGAAGAATCCAAAGACCAGGACCAACCCGTGCAGCAGGAGGATGATGTATCCGATCCACCCCCGCGCCGACTGGGAAACTTGCAACGATGGGACAAAGACCACGGAGAGCAAGATCGTGAGGAACCGCACAATGGAGAAGCAGGCATGATACAGGTTCATCGACGTCGGTGGCGGAAACGGTTTGAAGGCCATTAGGGTTAGCAGGGAGACCACCTCACAGATCGCTAACAGCACAATCTGCGCGATCCCGGACGGTTGGAGGGCGCCGATCGCAACCCCGCGGGCAAAGGTGACAAACAGCGGCACGGCCGCAAAGGCGGCGGCATCGTCGCAGAAGGTGTTGTACAGCGGCCCGTATAGGAGGACCGTCGACAGGTCATCATACAGGTAGGACTTGGGACGGGTGGTGACGATGAGTCGGACGGTCCAGAGGCAGAAGGCGACGGCGATCAGGATTAGGATCACGGCGAACACGACCGAGTATGCGGGCGAGCGACCGGCGATCACCAGCTGGAAGAAGGAAATGGAGACCACAGGCAGGAACAGGTAGTTGAAGACGATCCGTATCACATTGCCGATGGTGAAGGGCCAGTTTTTCGCGCGCAGGTCCTCCTCTGGGACGTTGGCCAGCGCACGATGCAGCCACCGGAAGCCGAACGCCACCTGGATCAACAGGGTGACGGCGAGCACGATGACCAACAGCCAGACGATCATCCCGGGCCACATGTCCCGCGCGGACGGCATTCCCACGTAGTGCTCCAATCGGTCGAGACCGTAGGTCTCGTTCACGGCATACACGCCGTCGACCACGGGGTTCCGCTCCTCTCCCTGGTTCATAAATGTTTGGTTGAACAGCAGGCTCGACCACGCCGCCTGGCTGACCACGGGCTGGTAGTACCCGGGGTAGTTCAACGACAGCGACCCCGTCAGGACCGTAAATTGGATATACTGCAGGCAGTCCCCAAAACCAGGCGTCACCAATCGCAGAACATCCTCGTCTCGGCCGTAGTTGCTCGTCCAGTGGAACGGGTTGGTGGTGCCCCATGGGCTGTAAATGGCGGCGGTGATCGTCGCGACCCCGACGAGGATCAAAATCACCAGCGGCACGTAGGCGAGGGCGTTCCGCAATGACGACCCCAGGTCGGGGGTGATATCGACCTTCACGCACCCGAGCTTGGTGGCTGCTTCGTTGCCGGACTTGACCGTGAAGGACGCGGCGAGTGTGGAAAAGTGGTAAGCCGACGACATATCATGTTGGACCGAAAACGAGCGTAACGAAGCGAGGTCACTCCTGAAAGAGAGGGTAGAAGCATTAGTACGGGCCTGATCCCAAAATTGGGCGTGAAAGACTCACGCATTCGCGTAAAAGGCGGGCACGAGCGGACAGTCTCCTTGCACCGAATCGCAGAACCTGGAGGCGTCGCGATACGGCGAGAACGACACGACGTCGATGGACGTCAGCAGGGTGGAAAACTTGTTGTTCGACGTGTCTAGATCGGTAATCTTCCCCACGGTCTCATTCGGGTTGATCCACTGAGGGTCATCGGGCAGCGGATAGGTCAAGCGACGGTCGGCCGTCCCCGAAACGTTGCCGTAGACGGTGACATTCAGCGGATGAAGTGGACTCTGCGGATCGAACGTGACCGATACATCAAGCGGAATGAACTGGAGCTGTAGCGGGCTGGACTGGATGACCGACTGGCTGAGGCAATTCTGGAAATCCACGAGGACCGCTGCCACCGGCGAAACCACCAACAACAGCACCACAAACATCAGGAACCCAGGGAAACCAGTCCCATGTCCAACCTGATGCCGCCGTCGCCGCCGCCGTAAAGTATCTCGCCATGTCCGACGCTGCGAAACACGTCTCCCACCTCCTGACACCTCCGAAGCGTGTCGTCTTGAAACTAACGTCGAACCCGGGGTATCATGCCATCGCGCATCGGGATCTACCCCCATCGCGACCGTTTTGAATAACCCAGACCTCCACGGGGAGGTCCACCCCCTCGAAAACGGATCACTCCACGTTGTAGAGGCGGGGAATCGGACGCGGTTGGGAGGAGTATTCAGCTGGACTCGCTGCGGGTGGCCGGTCGGACCCAAAAGCGGAAGAGAAATCGTCGACCGATCCGGTGGATGAAAGGGTTATATCGAGAATGGGAGCAGATTACTCCTCGATCTCCCCCGAATTGGTGATGTAGGGGATGCGCAGCATCACTTCTCAATGGAGGATAGTGGGGAGAGGGGGGGGGGGATAAAGAGATGGTCGGATTATCACGGGGAGGCTGAAGGAATATAAGTGGGTAAGAGGATAGTCGAGAAGAGAGAGTCACACGAAGGAGAAAAGATTGGAAAGAAGGGAAATAAAGAATGAAATCAAGTGAAAATAATCAACAAAGAAAGAAAAATAAAAAAAAGTAAGATAGATCGAAGAAGGAGAAAAGAAGGAGGAGAAGAAGCTCGGAAGAAAAGCGAACCTCAGGTACAAACTCGGTGGTACCTCAGGCCCCGGACGTGTTTGGCTGTTTGTTCCCTTTTGTTGGCCTGATTGGAGCCACTTCGATTCTAATCTTGGAAACCACTAAGAGCAAGAAACCCACTGTCATCCACTCGTGTCTTTCTCAGCCATGTCATCATTATATTTTTTAAATCAGTATCTTGCTTGGAATACTCTCGAATGGAAAGGAAGACGAACTGCAGAATCTTGATCTAATCGTCCCTGTGACCATACGGACAGATCGAATCACCAGCATTAATATCCGGTCGCAATGCAAGGTCAGGAGAATCATCAGATGAACCGGTCGATCCCTAACAGTCAGGGTTTAAACCTCCCTACGGATATCCATCCACTTTGATCTCCTATTGTGCCGATCATTCGATCCGAACGATACGCTCCATCGAACCACGGATGGACTCCGCCAACAGCAAGGGAGCCAACTTATCCTCTTTCGATCAAGGCTTAGCTTTTGTACGACTTGGCACTGGTCTGGCACTGGGATCGATAACAGGGTTGGGAAGGAAGCAGTCGTGACAGGTGTATCCGCTGTCCACCCTTAATGCAGTGGGGAATGAGTTTTCGCTGGTCCGTCGATAGTCGGTCGGGTGTAGGTTCGTATTTCAAGGGAGAACCAATGTGGTGGAAAGGAGTCCCTCGTTAGGCTTTCCAGGCCGACCATCGAGGAGGCGTCTCATCAAAGCGTTGAGCCTGGATTGATTGGTACGGGATCGTTGGTCCCTCCCGGTGTACATCTCCCCCGGCGGATCCGTGACGGTGGCTCAAAATTCAAAACACCCTGCGTCTCCAAAAGGGTGGCCAGGACGGGGAGCTACATCTCGAGTCCTTAATCCTTTATTCCACTCACATGCTCCATTGCGTAAACAAGGACGTTTGGGTTCGATGATTCTACCAACCACGCAGCGCCTATCTGTGACACCACATGTTCTCAAAGCTTGGGAGTCATTTACGAGTGATTGATGATCTAAACGATTAATTCACTTTGGTTTGGGTTTTTCATTGAAATGGATTGAGACGTGTGTCAACAGGCTGCGATTCTGTGTCCGCTCATCAGCCACTGCGATCTAACCGACCAGCCACTCTCTTAAGTACCACCAAGCTAAGTTGGAGCTTCCACCCGGTGCTTCGCAAAGACTAGATGCAACCCTGGCAATTTGTGTCTTTGTTGTGCGACGAATGGATGAAACGAGGCCGAGCTGTCGTCGTTAGGATTCTAGAGGTAATATTCACCATCCATAGATCTATTCAGGCACTAGGTATTGGGCTCTCTAGGAAGGCTATGCTCATACTATACTATATTAGAGCTACTGATAGATCCATGTATATGGTAAGACAGACAGATGCTTAGCATGTACTACGGTGTCAGAGTCCTACACTACATACGACATGTCGAGTCACATGGTTCATGCAACCCTTAACCGGAGCGCGTTCAAGGTTGAATAAGGAAGTATAGAAAGGAAAGACCACATATACCTACTACTATCTCCTACAAACAATCATCAAACGTTTAGCTGTTTATTGAATAACGATGTCATACTAACATAAGGAATTATAGAGCCCCAGTAGTCAAAGGCATGGCGTTCTATATAGCACTCATTTACCGACACTCTACCCACTCCATACATGAACCACCTCTTTCAACCCCAACCACCCTATGGAAAATTAGCCTCAGGTGACTGCTATTAATTTGATATCCTACATATATTTTGTGGCTCCAAACACACCGTTCCTGGCGTCCCATTCCCCCCGACCGGAAAATCGGCCCGGCCTATCAGAGTGACGGAGCCAATGCCCCGGATCCATAACCAAAACACACATCTGATGGCCCCATATTATACAGTCGAAGCTTCTGCTAAGACCAACTCCATTCCAAAGCTAAGAGCAGTGTCATCCCGCATTCTACCTCCCTGGAACAGGCACAGTATGAAATCAGGTACTGCCTGCAATCTGTCAAATGCGTCACCCATCCTGGAGACTTCTCATGACGGCTGCACATTCTACAGAATTCCCCTTCCGAATTCTTCTTAGTATTTACACCATTCTTACATTGGGAGAACGTCATCAATCTATCAAATGTTGACTGTTTCATGGGTCGGCTCCCGCATACCAGTCCCTACTTAGTTGGCATGATTGACGTGACTGGAAGCGGGGTCCTGCATTCCTGTGTATATCTTGCGCCAGAACATGCTTCCTATACTGCATACCGGGGATTGTCACTCATGCGGCAAGATTGACAGATGGGCATGGTGGAAAAGCAGAGTTCTTGTCGTTTTCACTTCACAGTTAGAGCCCTGTCGCGTAACCAGCTGTGGGGATACATGGTTTATGTATTGACAAGCTCGCACCGTGAGTCTAATGGGTACCGCAGTCCGCTATGGGGCAATCAGATTCCGTATACTGTGAACTCCTCTACCCCGGAGAAGCCAGTGGAGACGGTATTTTGAGATGATCAACGACGCTTATGTCTAATAACGAGAACGGACTGCATCAAATTCACAAACTCACTCGAAGTTATCCGGTTGCAATCAACTTTGAGCTGTTTGATCCCTAGAAGTATACCAGAGCCCAGAAGTATACCAAAGCCTTCCGGTTCCAGTGCTTGTTGGAAATGCTGGGGAAAATGGAATGCAAAGTCGAACTCTTGGCCGCTCTGAGATATTCCCATGCTGAACGATCCCTGGAGACATAACTATAAACCCAAGTCAGCCCTGTCATAACGGCCATGGCAGTCGTTCAATATCGCAACTCTCATACCAGTATCCCCAGCCGCACAGACATTTTACAACCACCATGAAGCTCGCAACCGTCCTCTCCCTAGCTGTAGCAGTCTCGGCGTACTGCTGCGTTCCCCCAGTAAAGCCCGCAGGTCCCGAAGGACACGCCCACACCTTCAACTTCGACTACGAAGGCGAGACCGGCCCCCTCAACTGGCATCACATCGACCGAGACAACTCGCAATGCGCCCACGGCAAGCACCAATCGCCTATCGACATCAGCTCCAACAGCGTCACGATCGCCCCGCGCGGCTCCGTGCGCATTAACATCCCTAAGGCTTCTACCGCGAAGCTCGAGAACCTGGGCTCTGGGCTTGAGGTCGTCCTCACTAATGGCTCCCTGACGACCCCCAATGGCAATTACCAGCTTGCTCAGTTCCATTGGCATACGCCTAGCGAGCATCGCATAAGCGCGCAGCACTCGCCCATGGAGGCGCATTTTGTTTTCAAGGACGCGGGTATGCACCCTCCTTTTTGATATTTCCCTCACTTCCCGTATTAGAATTGACCAACACAAAACACAGCAAGCCGCATCGCCGTCGTAGGCTTCCTAATCGAGCTCTCCGAGACCGGCAGCTCAACCTGCCTCTTCGACTCGATATTCTCCCTCACAGACGCCGTATACCATCCCGGTGAATACGTCCACACGGGCCCGCTGGACTTCACCGAAGTCAACCACCATCTGGACCTGAACCCTCCGTACCAGTACTCGGGGTCTCTGACTACGCCGCCGTGCACCGAGGGCGTCAGTTGGTATGTGAGCAGCGAGCCCATGCTGCTGAGTGTTCGGAGCTATAATAAGGCGAAGAGGCTGCTGAAGTTCAATGCTCGCTATATTCAGAATACTCTGGGTGCGGAGAATCTGTTGCAGGTTGCTGAGGATTAGGGTGGGTGATGTGCGGCCCCAGAGGGGCCTGTTTGTTATGCTATCCTTGGGTATCACGTAGCCTGGACACTGTGAGAAAGGTGTGGATAGTGTGTGCCAGTGTGTTTGGTGTTTCGCGGCGATCTCTTTTTTGCTTCATATCGCGACGGAAGTTTGATGTGACTGGGAATGCCTTTGGCGTTGAGGGTTCTGGTTTCAGGGTTTTCGGTAGGTTTAATAGGATAATCATATTTTTAAAAGAAACTAAATGTTTCGAGGATATAATATAGTGTTGCCAAGTGTGGTCTTTTGTATATGTAAGCTTTGGGCATGGTCTTGGCCGAAGCAATAGGATGATATAGGAATGATTTTGTATGTTGAAACCTGCAAAGTACGTACAGTAAAAGAATCAGACACTGCTCTGTAGTCAGACAAAAAGCCACGCTCTCAACGACTGTCTATCATTAAATTCCACGAGTTTGATTCAAGGCAATCATTCCAAGTCACTAATCCTCTCTAACCGGGCAGGCTCACTGGAAGACCGTCCCCACAGCCGATCCGTCCCATTCAACTGCCCAACTAAATTCATCCAATCTTCTAATGTCTTGCCTTGGCTATCCGTGCAAACATCACTGCCACTCCATGAGGATAAAAGGAGCCTCGCTGTGCTGACATGATCATTGTCTCTTGCACATTTCAGCGCTGTCCGGCCTTTTGAGTCGATGATTGAGGCATCGGTCACTTCAAGAAGACGGCGGGCGACTTCCTCGTGCCCATTTTTTGCAGCGTGATGGAGTGGTGTTTGCCCAGAAAAATCAATCAGGTTAGGATTAACATCAGTTTCCAATAACATATTCACCACGCATCTATCATCCGTGACAGCAGCCCAATGGAGGGCAGTGCGATTGAAATACTTGTCCCCTCTGTTGAGATCCACACCGCACTGTATCGCGAACTCAACATCAAGAAGGGATCTCGATTGGACGAAGCCAGCCAAGCAAATGTTCGAAGGCGGGAGGTCGGCATTTATTATAAAGTCATCAGGCGTGAAGGACGGCTCCCGCTGCAGGAGCCATTTTGCTATTCCCAGACAGCCCACTAAAAGTGCCGTATGCACGGCATTCATATAAACTTCGTGCCCGGTAACTATAAGGTCAAATCCACTTTCCCGGAGCTGTCTAGCAACAGCAACAAAGTTGCGTGCAATTTTCCCTTGATAAATAGTCTCAATGCCAGGCCCAACCATTGCTCCCCTTCTTATGAGTATGATAGCAACCTCATGGCAACCTTCACGCAGTGCCAATTCCAGCTCGGTTGGAGAAGCAGTGCCAGTGCTAAGTTTTGCTCCTCGGTTGAGGAGAATCCTCGCAACTGCTTCATGACCACCTGATAAAGCTTCTAAAAGTGGTGTTCGTCCATCTTTTTCACAGGTATTAACCTCTGCTCCATGGTCAAGAAGGATTCTTGCGACAGTCTCATGGCCGTGAAGCAAGGCTCCTGAAAGTGGTGTTTGTCCATCTTTATCACAGGTATTAACCTCTGCTCCATGATCAAGAAGGATTCT